TCTCTCTCTCTCTCTCTCTCTCTCTCTCTCTCTCTCTCTCTCTCTCTCTCTCTCTCTCTCTCTCTCTCTCTCTCTCTCTCTCTCTCTCTCTCTCTCTCTCTCTCTCTCTCTCTCTCACACTCTCACTCACACCTCAACCCGAGGCTGTGCAAACACGCGCGAAATCAATAGCAAAACGTCATACGATCTTTAATCCCTCCCACTCGAATTGTGTTAACCGCAAACAACTTTTCCACGCTTGGCTGGTCTGACACCGACGGCGTCGTTATTCCCATACTTTTTGTAGCTTCTACCTCTCAGGGACGTCTCGGCGCGCTTTTCGGCACCGCGAATTTTACGGGAACCGGTGAAGAATCCTCGTGGAGGCAAGAATGTGCGAGAAGAGAGGGAAAAAGATGCATCGAATCCGTTTCCCGTTAGGCAAACGTCGCGGGTGACTTCCTTGAAGGAGGTGTTAATCTCGGAGTGCGCAGGATCCGCGTTAGCGATTTTTAGCTTTCCTCTTGTCACTTTTATGGTGGACGGAACGTGGCATAAATACCCGCATGCGAAATATGTCGATGAACAGGTGTCAGGCCGTCGACGAAGTTCCCCCTGACGCCATAAACGCGACAACGCGGCGAAATATGTTGAAAGTACGGCCGTAACGCGTTGCGAATTCGATCGTCGCACGATTCATCACAATTTTCGCGATTTCCATTACCGCGCGCTCGATGTCCGAGTCCAAGTTCCGAGTCCAAGTAAGATTCCGGATGAAAAAAGAAACTAACGAGGACGTCTGCGCGTCACTCGTTGAACCGGGTAAAAAGATCACGCTGAAAATTATAGCAACCTGCTTATCGTAATTTGCATTTATAAATCATCTGGTATACAATAAATTATTTATACAATTATTTTCTAAAGGTTTCTCAGAGATCCTCATTAATGCTCATAAATTTCTCGCACATCATAGATACACTAGAAGTAGATATTTTTATGTGAAATATTTTATTTTAATAGAATAATATGAATTTTAAAACGTAACGTAATATGTCGTATATATATATATATGTCATATTTGGATTTAATTAAAATAATTAATCTGTCTGTGTGGAGAAATAAAAAATGCAAATTTCAAACACGTCCGTTAATTGAATTAAATGAGATCTTCCGTTAAAAATTTTATCGTAATATATGTGAATATTAAATATTACAATTTACATATGAAAAATTACCATCTTGTCTCGCCTTGCCTTTGCAATTCGACCTGAGTAACTAACATGAGATTCGCGAACGATAAAAGTCACTCTGCAACTTCTGCGCGGCGCGAGCCGAAGCGAGGAATTTGTAAGCAATCGGCTTATCGCCACAGGTGAATGCACTAGGAGAGGTTTAGATGTAGGTCAGGAAAGTAGTCAACCCGCGTCGCGCGGTTTATTCCTGAAGTAAAGAGACACGTGTCGCTGTGTTGGAAAATCGGCGTGAAAAAGTTTCTCTACGCGACTTGCGAAACAGCACCGTCTCTCTCTCCTGACGACCGCGTCTTACGCGCGGTGTCTTCGATTCGAGAAAAGTCCCCCTTCGTTATCCATCTCTATGTGAAGCCTTGGCACATCTTTCTGTTAAGAATAATAAATTTTTTTTATGATAATTAAATGAAAAGTGAGTTAAATCGACGAAAGCAAAATCGACGATGCATTTTGTTTTGCAGCGGTACAGGCTGCCTCGAAGACCCTCATGGATTCGTTGAATGAGATCTACGAGAGCCAATGGACTGGACACGATCTGTTGTACGTGCAGGCACAAAATCTTGACATGCTGTGGCAAGATTTCACTCACAAGCTCGCGGACCAGGTTCTTGTACCACTCAACACATATCAAAGCCAATTCCCGGAGATGAGGGTACGTCCTGCGCAGCTTTGGTAGTTGCATCAAACAATTTCTTCATTAATATTCCTTTTTTTCTTTTAAGTTCTTCTTTTCTCACAATCTTCCATAGAAAGTAAAACTCTGTCTTTATATTTATTTAAATTTTTATTGTACATTTCTTTTTTCATAAAATTCTTTTTCATAAAATTTCGGTTATTAATATTAATAATTAATATTTTGTTAGTTGCTTTTATAATGAAGACTAATCTTTTCATACATAAAAGTATCAGAATGTTATAATAAAATTTAAGTACAAACTGGAAATTTATTTTTAATACTTTGTGTAATGTTGAAATTAAAATTACGTTTGATAAATAATTTGCAGTAATTCAGAAAATTATAATAATAAAATATATTTAGCTGCTATGTGTTTCATCCAGGATTGATTTTCATGAAAATCATTGATTTTCTAGAAAAAAGTCGACAAGCGTGGACGTAAACTAGTGGATTACGACAGTCAGAGACACAATTTCCAGTCATTGCAGTGCAATCCAAAGAAGAGAGATGAGCTTAAAGTATCCCGGGGGAAGGAGTTGCTGGAGGAGGCAAAACGTACATACGAGCAATTGAATTCTGAGCTGCATGATGAACTGCCAGCATTATATGATTCACGTGTTCTTTTTCTCGTTACGAATCTGCAAACGCTCTTCGCCGCGGAACAAGTGTTTCACACTGAAAGTGCCAAGGTACCTAAAGTAATTTAAGGAGGATTTATATTATGGAATTTTATATTTTAACAAATTTTAAATTAAAAAATGTAATGAAAATTTGATCGTGCCTTCTCTTATCGAAATATATCGAAATATATAAAATTAAAAAATTCATAAAATTTTATAGCATCCTTCTCATATTTTTTCTTTTTAATTCTTGTGTTTCTAGGTATATTCCGAATTAGAAGCCATCGTTGATAAATTGGCTAACGAAAGTCAGCGAGGATCTTACACACTGAAGAAGAGTACGGAACCGCAATCACCGAAGTCACCTAATGCGAATTCATCGTAAGTAGATTCGTCGAGTCAGTAAAATTAAAATTACTGCGATTACACATTATAATAAAGATAGATAATTGGCAAAAAAAATTATTTTGTAAAACTAATGTAATATTGAAACAGTTATTACATAAAATGTGACATGATAGAGTTGTAATTATACAACACGTAAAACCAAGAGGTATACTAGTTACATAATACTAATAACCCTGATTTGTTTCAGCCTAATAATTAACACGCAGCCAGCGCAGAACAATATCTCAGGAGGTAATTATTTCGTTGTATTTTGTTCAAGTTGAACTTGTTGTATGTGTACTAATTACATGTATGTTACACTAATATCTGCATGTCCGTAATGTCCTCGCTAAGAACAAGACTAGGACACGAAACGTTTCGAAAGGCTTTGACAAGGCCGTGTTGTAGCTCGGCATTCAGTTTTGAGTGTGCTTTCTTCGCGTGTTTCAGCTTTGGATGATACTACGCCTGTTGCCAGAGACACATCGCCGACCACCCAGATAAACGGCAATGCTAACAGCAACGCTAATAGCAACGCTAATAGCAATGATAATTCTCTCAATAACCAGGATGCGTCGCCACAAAATACAGTTGCGCCTTCCAAACAGGTTGAAGAGTTGTACGATATTCCTGTCGGTAAGTCGCTTGCAAATTTAACTTTCGCAGTGTTGTTTAATGTATTCTTTTTCATTACAATTTCCTTAGTGAGTTCAATCGAATCGCCAAAAGATCTTGAATGACATTGACTTCATGTTCAAATTTTCTCAAAGACAATTTTTTAGCTTTATTTTTGTCATATATTAAAAATATATCTACATACTTAATTAATAAAGATTAATCTTTGAGATCTTAAGATTTTATTAAAATAAAAAATAACGAAATAAAATAATAAAATTATATAAATAATATTGAATCATTTTGTAAAAATAAATGATAATTTCATGATTAATTGGCTTGCTTTTATAAAATTAAGTTTAATTAGATCGTTTCGAATTAGAAAATAGATGGCGATTAATGATGATTGTTAATATTATAGTAGTACGCTGCCTGCCCCTTTGTGCATGGTCTTGCCGAAACAAGATCGTAGTTAATCTGACCTAGTTGTGAAATTAAACGTTAATTATACAATTGAACGAACGAAATAAAAACTCTGCACCTATAATTGGTACCTCTCAAAATCTCCATGCAAATGAAATCGCAGACAGGTCCATGACTAATGGGGCGGACTCGATCATTCTAGAGGCGGAATATGAAAATGCTGCTAATTTCTCTATAGGGGCGACAACCGACAATCTGCCGCCGGGTGTCTTATACAGGGTTAAAGCCACTTATAAGTATAGCCGCGAGGACGTGGATGA